AGTGAGAGAGTGAGACAGTGAGAGAGTGAGAGTGAGTCAGTGAGTGAGTGAGGAGACAGTGAGTGAGGGTGAGGCAGTGAGAGAGTGAGAGAGTGAGAATGAGACAGTGAGTGAGTGAGACAGTGAGAGAGTGAGTGAGACAGTGAGAGTGAGGCAGTGAGTGAGTGAGACAGTGAGAGAGTGAGAGTGAGTCAGTGAGTGAGGGTGAGGCAGTGAGAGAGTGAGACAGTGAGAGAGTGAGACAGTGAGTTCATACTATAACAAACTTAAGATGGACCAAAGACCTATTACGTAAAACCTAGAATTATCAAGATCAGCAATGAAAAAACAGGGACAAACTTAAAGGCTCTAATTCATGGCATAAATACACTATCAAACATAGCTGAAAATACACAAAAGCAGAAGACAAACTAGATTGCTAGGACTTTCTAAAAATTAGATGAGTGCGCTCGAAAGAGTTTGCCAAAGGAGTTAAAAGTGAACCTACACACTAGTGAAAAGAAGTTGTTTATTATATTTTGGAAAAGGGACAAATCTCAAAAATGTAGACATTTTAAAACATCAATATTTCAACAAGAAAACGAAAAACAAAACAAAACCAAAAACCAAAAACCTAAGGCTGAAGGGATGAACAGATACTTCATCAAAGAGGACATTCAGGTGACCAACAAACATCTGAAAAATACTCGAGATCATCAGCCATTCTCAATTCACTGCCATCAAGTCAATTACTGTCATGGTAATCCGTTAAAACAGAACAGATTGGCCCCTGTGGGTTTCCAGAGAGGCTAGTTGGTTCTAACTGCTGACCTTGAAGTTAGCAGCTCAGCTGATAACCCATTACACTACTATGGGCCTATTAGCCATTAAAGAAATGAAATCAAACCACAGTGGGGCATCACGTCATGCCAGCATGAACAGCAAATGCGGGTGAGGGTGTGGAGAAACTGGAAACCCCCACACACTGCGGATGGTACTGGAAAATGGTGTGCAGAGCACTAGGGCACTTGCCCCCAAAGTGGAAATTAGAAATACAGTATGACCCAGCAAACCTTCCATTGGTATTTAGCCTAGAGAAATAAGAGGCACAATCTGATTGGTTTGTGCACACCCATGCCATTAGATCACTATTAATAAGAAAAAGATGGAATCCACCTAAATTCCCATCAGTGGAAGAATGGAAAATCAATCTATGGTAAATATGCATAATGGAATACTATACAATTTTAATAAATAACGAGGAATCTGTTAAACATCTTAAAACCTGCCTGTAGTTGCAGAATATATTATATGGAGCAAAATTAGCCAATCACAAAACGACTAATATTATATGAGCCTACGAATGTAAAGTGTCAAGAAACGATTTTCATACTACAAGGAGCATTCTTTGATGGTCACCAGTGGCAGGAGGGGCGAGGGGCGGGG